AAATTAAAAATTTCTTTCTAAAAATCAACGTTTATTCATAAGGGATGAAATGGCCCTTTATGGTAAGATAGGTATATGTAAAATGTCGGTACGTTTAGTGTTAAAGGAATAAAAAGATCTAAAATATTACTTGCTACTAAAAATCTCTCAACTGTATTGATACACTTTTTTCCTAAGTCCTTTTTAACGATGATAATCATGAAATAGTTTCTATAAAAGATGTTCCATAAAGAGAGGCGAGACGATATCCGCGATAAAGTTGAAATCGGTGAAAGATAGAAGCGAATGTGAAACGAAAAGGCGCAGACAATAAATAATACTTCGTGCAACGTCATTTCAAAATAAGCATCGCGGGAAGAGATTGTGAAACAGCCGGAAGATTTACAGATTCCGAATTAATTCCTCGAGTGAAATGAGAGTACGCTGTGCGAAAACGCGGCTCGCCGTCGCCGGTCGTACACACTACAGAGCAAATAAACTCTCGTGTAGCTCCGTTAACGACGCTGGCCTGTAATATGTAGTTTCTAAAGCAAGAGCAAGATTTATCGGGGGAATTTGCCAGTTGTCTGGATCCAACGCCGGCCGACCGGCTGTTTATAAATGGAATCGTCCGGCTACGCTACAACACGTAAATATCGATTCTTCACCATTGCTCGTACGTAGTCGAAATAAATTTCGTTTCGATCGTTTATCGTTTCCTGCTTTCGTTCGCTCTTCAAAAAGTATCCAACGCCCTCAGATCAGACTCGTTTGAATTGCCGAGGCAGCTTTCAACGAAGCTTTAATAATATAGACAGGCTACAAAGGGCTGAAACTGACTTGAGGGAAATATGGAAATGGAATTTTAATTAAATGGCGTTTCTTTTGTAATTTAAATCGAGGCAAGAACCATGACCGAATTTGAATTTAATTGGTATTAGACTAATGGTTACCTATTACAGGAATTGGTTTGCTGTAGTTTAAATTACTGCAAGCATAATGCTTGAATTTCAATTGATTAAGTAGAGTTAGATGTTTAGTTGAAATCTTGGACTAAAAATTAACTAAACTTTCCGTTGTATTAATATTTTACAATCATAGTTTTTATCAATTGGAATTATTTATTGACCGTGTAATTAATAAATAAACCATTGAACACATCTAACGAGATGAGAGAGCAAAAAGAAACCCTGTGACTCGTGGAAAAAGTATTAATGTTACATACTAATCACAAAAGCGCAATCACGTATCAGCCATGCTGAAGAACTCGAAACAAATGAATTCTGAGGCAACAGTGTCGCCTAGTTCCGGCCTTGCTGGCTCTTCCGTCGTCGAGACCACTCCGAAGCCCAGGAAGAAACTTTCATTCAAGGAGCCCGAAATATTCAGCTATCTGAAGTTGAAGAAACCTTTTAAAAAGTCGAAACCTCCCCCACTCCAGTTGACGCGTTCAACAACTAGCGCCGATTTTAGCTTCGATGAGAACCCCTTCGAAGAAGAGAACGATGACCTCGAGGAGCTCGAGGTAAAGGTGTACGCTTACGAATAACGCCGTTTATGGGATAAGGTCATGCAACGAAAAAAAAAAAAGAAAGAAAGAGCAGCCACGGGATGTCGTGCAGGAATAAATTACAATTTATGTTTTGTTTCTTTGGTTCCTCCCTTTTTTTTTTTTTTCTTTTCTTTTCTTTTCCTTCCGTGTTTCCTCAGTGGAGTTTCTCCGATACTAGAAATCGAGATATATGAAAATATTTTAGAATGGAGTTTAGCCAGCTTTTAAGCTTAGAATTAAATTATTTTGCATCGAGCGAGTATTCTAATAAGAATCGAGAAGAGTTTCCAAATTAAATCTTAAACTCCGGAAGCTGAAAGTTCAAAAATTGTCGAAGGTTGAAAGACTTACGATTTTTTTGAGAGATTCGAAAATGGAAAAGAAATTCGAACTTTGAAGAATTCAAAGTACATGAAAATACTAAAAAGTTGTAATTGAAATATTGATCTTCTCAATACTTGAAGTTTGATCGCGCAATAAATTCACCCTAATGTCTGCATGTTGTGCCGCAACTACTCCTCGTCATCTTTAAATATTATACTTACTTGTACGTTCAATTGAAAAAGTTGGATTTCGTTAGAGTCAAGCGATGAGGGTGGTCAGGACGGTAGGACAGGCCTTCGAGGTGTGCCATAAATTAAGTTTAAACAACGCCACGGAAGAGCGGGATCGGGGAGAGAAAGAGAAAGAGAGAGAACACGGTGAGAATCATCGTGACGTTTACGAGGACCAAGACGAAATACCGAATGAGCAGTTGCAGCCGTCACCGTCTTCTGTGCATAAAGGTTCTGTTCAATCTAGAAAAAAAAAAAAAAAAAAAAGCAATTTGTTGGCTTGATATTTTTATTGATAATGACTGAAATCTCTATTAAGATTCCATTTGTTTAATAAAAACTTACGAAGATTATGAAATTGCATGAACATCTGCAGTCTGTTGATTATGAATTTTTTCAAAAATGATATATTTTCAAAAATATATATATTTTCAGATATATCGTTATTAGGGGATGCAGAGGATTCGGTGCCAGAACAGACGACTGTTCCTTGTCTTCTGAGAACGAACGAAGTTCCAACGAACGCAGCGTCTACCTCGCCTATTAGACAATCGCCATCGGTAAGTTGAACAGTATATTAAAAATATGTACTATCTCATCTTAAAATTCTTTTTTTTTTTTTTTTAAGATATACTGAACATATAACTGATTAATCTCATGTATAATAGGGTACAGTGACTTCCGATTGTGGAGGAGGGTTACTCGTTGGAGGAGAATTAACCGCTCTGAAGCATGAGATTCAACTGTTGCGAGAACGATTAGAGCAACAAAGCCAACAGACCAGAGCCGCTGTTGCCCATGCGCGATTGCTTCAGGATCAGCTTGCGGCTGAAACGGCAGCTCGAGTAGAAGCTCAAGTAAGTGATATGCTGTATGGAACGTTTACCAAATCTGAAAATGTTGATTCATTAATATTCGAATTAAGATCATTATGCTCTGTAGACATTGATTAAAGTTACTAAATATATATTAAAATGAATAAATATGTAGTAAATATTTGCATGTTGATATGTGATAAAATGAACAATTATTAATAATATTATTAATGTTATATTAAACTTACTTTACAAGTTAGTAAGATTTGCTAAACGTTTGTAAATTCAAACAAGTATCAAAAGATGCTGGTTGAAAAGATATTGGTACCTTATAGATTTTGTAACTATTATCCATAAATAGTAATAGCTAGTAGATATTGACCAGTACTTATGTTTTATGTTTTAGGCTAGAACGCATCAATTGTTGATGCAAAACAAAGAGCTTCTAGAGCATATAGGTGCATTGGTCGGCCATCTTCGAGAGCAAGAACGGATCTCGAGTGGACATGGAACCTCACAGTCTCAATTGTCTGGAACGACCACGATGCAACAAACTACTACTGTTCCTGACCTGTCGAACATCGGCCAGGTAACGCTCTACAGAATACCATGACACGAGTGTTCAACAGTCAGCAAACCGTATGCCTGCGAACGTTGCATTCCAATTAACGTTTAGCACTGTACTTTGTATTTCCTTTGTTTTTCTGTTCGTTTTCTTTTTTTTTTTTTTTTATACTGTAACGCCTTTTGTACTGACGCATTTTTTTTTAAATGAATTTCTTAATAAAACAATTTACACGCAATTTTTTTTTGTTTTGCACCTCATCATCGAATAAGCGAGAAAGATTGTGTTACAAGTATTTTTTAATTTTTTTTACTGTAAAATTGAGAATGCGTATTTTTTTTTTTTACATTTTTACATTTATTATTATTTCTACATTTATTACCTTTCTTTATATCAGTTAACGTTCCGTCATTCTGTTTTTAGATAAGATATAACTGAATGTATGCTCAAAAGTATTTACTAATTCAAACTGAATGTCCTACATTATTTTGCATGTACACTGGACTGTATATTTTAAAATATCGCTTAGCGGCAATAAGAGATTTTATACTTTAATGTAAATAGCGTCCATTTAGAAATACAATTATCTATTGTAATTTAGTTGTTCATCAATTGTTAAATGGACATTTATTATCTACATGAAGATATCGTATAATTTAATCAGCATGGATAACACTTTACTTAAAAAAGTCGAATAAAATTTAAATGCTGAAATGAAAAAAGAAACGTGGTCAAGCAAGTACACGTGATAAGTTCAAGCAAATTTTATAAAGCAACTTTTTAATCCTTTCAAGGAAACTGTATGAGCGGTTAAATTTTGAAAACAGCATTGCTTATGAGCGACGCGTTTTGTCCTAGATTGCTCGACCGGAAGATAGCAATTTAATGCTGACATTAAAGCTAAATCGCTAATTCAATAATCGTGCTAAGCGCCGGTGTGACGATGTTATGTAACAGGTCTTCGCACGGGATTTTGGACTTTGTGCTACCAATAAATGCTAGGTAATGTTGCCAATTTTTGAATTCTTACAAAGCATGCATCAGAATTAAAAAAAAAAATGAAAAATAATAAAGTTTCAGGTAATCAAATATTATTATGTTTACTTATTTCAAATTTTTGCCTTGGTAAATTCATAAACTCCGAATATATCTCTGAATACATGAAACATTAATATTTCTTGTCATTTACCCTTTGATATATTTTTTCTAGAGTAATATTTAATAATATCACTATTTTCTAAACAGTGCCAAAGAACAGGAGGACAAAGTTCACCATGGGAACTGGATCCACCATCTCCATACTACTCTTATGCATCAGATCCCTTATATTCTGGAGGTCTAAACTCAATGGGAATGCAAGGAAACAGTTGCCCAGCAGATCAGTTACAATTTCAAACGCAACTCCTAGAAAGACTGCACAACATAAGTCCATATCAGTCTCAAAGATCACCTTATAACACACCTTCTCCTTATACAATGGGTCCCAATTTTCTTGTACCTCCTAATAATAGGCCGTCTGTAAGTAAATTTTAATATTAATTTTAACTTCAAATAATCTCGCAAAATATACATGATTTACACAATTTTTTTGGATTTTTAGAGCTCAGCTCAATTGTCTCCAAGCTCCATGTCATTAAGAGTTTCTCAGACAAACAGTTTCTCTTCATCACCTGTAATGACGCACAAATTAGATAATTACGTAGGAAATCCGGAGAATACAGAATTGAAGACAACATTCATAAAACCTTTACCTTGTACAGGCGAAAGTTATTTCGGTCACGTAGTTCAGGAAACAAAGAGTAAGCAGGATCGTATTAATTTGCACGACGAAATTCCACCCATTGTGTTGGATCCTCCACCTCAGGGTAAACGTTCAGAGACAACTGCTAAACAATTGTCGACCAAAAAAAGTTCCAATGGCCAAGGGTCAAATAAGAACAGCTCACAGAACCAGAAGAATCTAGCTACCATCTTAAGAACCTCTGGTCCACCACCGTCTCGCACAACCAGTGCTCGTTTACCTCCGAGAAATGATTTGATGTCTGAAGTGCAAAGAACTACCTGGGCGAGACATACAACCAAATGATGAAGAATCCTCTTCGGAGTAGTTTCTGAAAAATTTACTATCTACATATCATTTCCTGGGTAAAACGTTTCTGATGAAAAATAATGTTTCTTTCTAATTTTATAATATGATTTGCAGTTCCATAAACTGATTGGAACTTCTATGAATTGTTTGTATTATAATATAATCAAAATTATGTAATTGTTGTTATAATTATTTTTAGTTTTAAATATAAGAAAAACATTGTGCACAAATGAAAGTTCTACCCAAGTCAGTTTATTATTATTAATTGAGAACTATGTGAAGTGTGTAAATACGTTTTGTTTCTTGTTAACACAGACTGCTTAACGTAGACTGCTCGTGGAAGATAGAATTTTAATTATCAACGTAACAAAAAGAAAAAAGAAAAAAAGATGATAGTGGTTATAGACTTTTCTTGAAAGATAAAAATCAAAGGAAAGATTTATAATCGAAAGTGTTAATTTAGTTTATATTTTCCATTGGTGCCAAAAGAGCAGAGCTTTTAATAAAATATATTTTCAACATGTGAATAAAGAAATTTGTGATCAGCATATAACAAATGAGTGTATATATAAAGCGTCATTCTTGTATATACTTATTAAGTTCCGATAATTTTACAAATTAAATAACTCTGTACTATAAAATAGAAAGGTGCAGATATTAAACTCTTGCGAATTTTATTCGTCACAATTTTTAGGACAGAAATTTTTTCCTTTGTTATATATATATATATATATATATATATATCCTTTGTTATATATATATATATATATATATATGGAAAAAATTGATGAATGTAAGAAGAAAAAGACAGATCTATATACTGAATTAAAAGAAAATATATAAATATGTAGTTCTGACATGTTGGAAACGCAGTTAAAATAAATTATGACAAAAAATGTTGAAACCATTTATAAAAAAATGTTAAAACCGAAAAGTACGTTTAATTACAATGGCCAGTAAATAAAATATTCTGCGAAAAATCGATGTCTTAATTTACTGTTAAAGATCCTTACAAATCAAGATTTATTTAATATTCCCATAAATAGTGATATTCTTTTCGTTGACAGTGTATGTGGAATTATTAATAATACTCAACGACTTTCAATATTCATAGCTCATAAATCACACATGATTTATTCCGAAAGTCCTTCTATTTACCTTTAGAATAACTAATATACCGATAGTTGTGCAATTTTTGATGAAGATTTAAAAATTTTTTTAGGAAAAGTATTTAATGTTTTATTGAAACAATGATTAAGTTTCAATAAATTGAAAGATAACTCACTAAATCTTCGGATACAATGATTCGCTTTTGATAAGAAAGAACTGTGAAAAATTAAGGTATCTCTCAGTTGATATTTGACATTAATACAGTGTCAGTCGTGGATATAAATATACCCGAAATTTTATGATCTCGAATATAAGTGATGGTACTATTAGTACAATCTTCTCTGGAGGTAAAATTCAAACAAAACAAATGAAGATAACAGTGTCATTTTGGATTAAAATGTGAAACATATTTTCTTCATATTTCGAAGAACAATTAAAAGATTGAAAAAATAAAAAAATAAATATTTTTTGTGTGTCACTTACATTCTTCATCTAATCAGCAAATGCGTCAACATCGCGTGAACAGCGAAGTTTTCATCAAGTTCGATAAATTCTCGAGTAATTTAGTGACTAATAAGATGCATACCTGACATTAATTAGCAAATTAATTTCGCTGAAATGAAATTCCTGGACATGTATTTTTATGGTAAACGTTACTTTCGTACTACTAGTTACGAGGGAGAGCTCTAATACTATTAAATTCAATATAATTTCTTATGTATAATAAAATAAAATGATAAATACAACAAATAGAATAAAGCTTTCGCAAATAATATAAAAGGTGTGAAAGTGATATTTATAAAAATATAATCTTTATAGACTGAAACATTGCTCGATTTTTAAAGGTGTGTCATAAAAATGACCAATAACGATAACGTGGCTTCATTTCGTGACCCTTCACAAATCACATTCCGAGATTCCCGCGGGTAAATAGCAGACAAAAAGGGAGAAGGTGATATTGGAGGGTCTTTAGATCTCGCGTGTAACGCGACGCGAGATCCTGAAAGAAGAATAATTATCTGTGAGGCGAAGGGTGGGGTCACGTGAAGAATGCGAGTTGTACGTGAGCATGATGAGTATTTAGGGTGCGGCACGTCGCATGTGACCTCGGGCTTCTAAAACGTTTACATTGACAATTTATCAGGCTGTTGTCATTGATCAATGATCCATATTTCTGAAGAAATAAAAATTATGAATGTCCTATATAATATTTTATTATTTCTGTAAAGAAGTATATAAGTTTTCATTCAAAATCTATTACTTCTACCAAATTTTACTACTGCTATAAAAAAAGATAAAGAAAAGATATGGAAGAATATTATGGGAATATTATTAGAAAGGTAATAATATTAATAAAGATTTATTAATATATTTATATTTAGATTTATTTATAATATATTCTATATAGATTATTTATAGATTATTTATAATATATAATATATTATATTATAGATTTATTTATATTAATAAAGAAATATTAGAAAGGTAATAATATTAATAAAGATCATAATACAATATTATAAAAATTCTTATGATAATATTGTCATTAATAATTTTATAATAACAGTACAATATTGGAAATTATTGTAAGAGTATAAGAGTTTGTTCTATAAATTCATTGTCAATAATCTTGCATATCTTCTTCATCTAAGTTACAGTTTTCTAAAGATAAATTGAAACGTCGTTAAAAAACACGTTTATGCTTATGACCATCGAACAAAGCAGTCTAATCGTTAAACGAAGTAGTTATCTATTTGCCCCTAATATACGACCTTCCGTGATTTTCGAGGATTTGTGTCGTGGATGGAAACACGATACCGAGTCCCTGATATCGAGTGGAACAGACATTACAGTCAACTTATAGATTTCAACATAGGGGTGGTCCCACCAGGGAATGACCAGCTTGTTCCATTGACACGAAGTGGCCAGTGGCTTTGCATCTATTGACTCTACTTCATCTGTGATCTCTCTGTCTTATTAACTTGCAAACTTTCTCTTTTATTTCCAAAGCTTCTGCCTCGCAGTATAAAAAAAGTGATTGTTGGTCCCTTTGCTAATTAGCGGCCTTACGAGTTACGCTCAATGAAAAAAGTTTACTAATAACAAGCAAATAACAAGAACGTAGAATTCCGACAGATATTGTTCACTCAAAATCGAGTTCAACACTGAAATTCGATAGCCAATGGTCTGTGCAAGTTGTGGCGCATAGTACGTGGCGTGAGGATGGATGATTTATGGAGGAGATTCATGCAACTAATTGTCCGGTTTTACCTTCTGCGGTAGGTGGAACCTTCTTCTCCACAACCATCGGTCGACCGATTGTCAGTTACCTTTGCTGTCAGTAAAGACGAAGATAATCAGAGGCAAGGTTGTCCAAATCAGGCAAGGAAAGAAGACGATAACGCCGTTGACTTAAAGAATATGCAGAGAATTTCCATAGCAGGTTTGTGTCAAATGGAATTCATTTACAACATAATAACATTTTTTCTAATAATAACGATCTACGATAGTCCTAGATTAAATAAATAGAATCATGTTTGCAAAAGATTTGTGTTTAAGCGTGAGTGTTTAATGAACTTCAGAAGAGGAGGGTGACGAGGATGAATATTCCGCTTCAGCGTGTGAGATTATGCAACGGCGGAGTTCCAGTCGACGACAAAGCAGACGGAGACGTCGCCCATCCTCTCCTTTCGAAGCTGAGGCTACACTTCGCCGAAGATCTTCCGTTTACACTACAAGTTCTGGAGAGTCAGTATTCATCAGTTTCTTCTTTAATTTAAATTCTTGCGCTTGTCGATTATAAATTATTCCCGCTAGAAGCTAGAAATGATCACTGTTGTTGAAAAGTAAGTAGAATCAGACGAAAGTAGATAAGAGGCGGGAATGTTAGTGAATAATTTCAATAAGAAAATAGCGGCGAAAATAGGAAATAATATCGGTTGAAACCTGCACGTACAGAACAGCAATCTCTATCGAAGAAAGCGGAAGTCAAGAGCAGATATTTGAAAAGTTAAAGTTGCACAAAGAGGTGTTGAGTGGAGTGAAACAACAACCGTGGCCACTTTGTCGGAAGATAAAATTAGTACGACAGGCAAAATCGTACATTAGAAGGCACGAAGGTGTTCTACAGGAAAGGCTGGCTCACACTCGTAGCACGAAAGACGCCATTGCTCGAATTTCACTCTATATCACGAAAGTAATAATCAAACAAAATATTCGCACACTTTGTCACATAGAATTTTTTCAAATTAACAACATCTATAATTTATAGAAATGGCAGTACTGTCGAAGAGAGTTGGTCAATCTTCAAACATGGCTGGTCCCATGGGAACTTCGTATAAAGGAGATTGAATCGCACTTTGGTTCGGCAGTGGCCTCATATTTTACCTTTCTTCGCTGGTTGTTTTGGATTAATCTTGTCATGGCAGCTATCCTCACTGCTTTCGTGGCCATTCCTGAGGTAATATACACTAAATACACAGTATCTTTAATGTAGATTTTTATTATTATGTAAAATCACTTTGCGAAATTCGAATGTGAAGTCTCACTTCTTCTCTGCAAAGGAAAGTAGTTGCTCAAATCTCGTCAGATATTATTCGTGACAGATGCTAACAGCAGCAGCAGGGGAACGGAAGATAATGCTCAAGGAAGAGAAGATAAAATCGAAGCACTTGTTAACTCTATGGGAATTCGAGGGTATCTTGAAATACTCACCGTTCTTTTACGGCTGGTACACGAATCAAGATTCACGAAACGGTTACAGATTACCTCTAGCTTATTTCGTTACTAATTTGGTCGTTTATATATACAGTTTCGTCGCCATATTACGCAAGTACGACTAGCCAAATTCAAATATCATCTTCTGTATACTGTATAAAAAAAAAAACCGTACTGATGTTTTCCTTAGAATGGCAGAAAATTCTCGATTGAGCAAACTCACGGAGAAAGAGGACGAATGCGTGTTCTCATGGAAGTTATTCACGGGATGGGACTTCATGATTGGAAATACTGAAACTGCACACAATAGGATGGCAAGCATTGTTCTTGGATTTAAAGAAGCTTTGTTGGAGGAAGCTGAAAAGGAGAAAGATAAAAGAAAGTAAGATTCTTTAACCTCCTCTTTAAAACTGCCTATTGTTACGTTATATTCTTCTTCATAGTCATTTTCATTTTTCATAAAACTTATTTGAACTCGTGTATCAGGCAGTATCTTGCTTCTTGAATTAAAATGCTTTATTTATAAAATTTTAGTTGGAAGATTATATCGATGAGGATCTTTGTAAATATATGTGTGATCTCATTGTTGGGACTGTCGGCATATGCTGTGGTAAAGATGGTTGCACGAAGCTCTAAAGAATTTGAACAGAATAATTGGTGGCGTCAAAACGAAATTACAGTCGTGATGTCCTTGATTACATATGTGTTCCCGATATTTTTCGAGATATTAGGATTGCTGGAAAGCTATCATCCCAGGAAACAATTACGTTTGCAGCTTGCACGGTAAGTATTGTGAAAGAAATTGTTCTCCGACATTCTCACACTAAGAATCCCATTTTTACAGTTTACTCATTTCATGATCGAATTCATTCCTTGCAGGATTATGGTTCTGAATTTATTGAATCTTTATTCCTTGATATTCGCGTTATTTGAGAAGATTGACTCAATGGTAAGTGAATTATATGATTATTCGATTGTGAGACTCAAGAAGGTATTCATTTGATATGTTGATGCTGTAGAAGCAAGGTTTAAGAGATCTTCAACCAACATTTAAAAATTGCACGTATAAACCCATTAAATGTGATGATACGAACAAATCACATATTGTGAAATTAGCATCTTTGAGTTTAGTCTTGGCGAGTAATGTCACTGGAATGCAGAATAAGACTGAAATTCTTGAAACGAGTATGTTTCTTTTATTGTATTATAGCAACTTTTCTTATACTACTTTTATGGTTTTTACTTTCTTTTCTTATCATAATATATATTTTTGCCTGTCATCTGTTAATTTATATGGACTTCCAACAACATTTTTCCTCGTTTATGTCCTCCCCCTTTTTATTAATATTTTATTAATTTTTTTTTTTATTTCAGTAAAAGAAATTTTGTTTGCAGTTAAATCAATTAGTAGAAGCTTCAATTCTTTTTTATATTTCTTGTTCCTCGTTTTTTTTCGTCTCTAATTTTCATATAAATGTACATTAACAATTTGCTTGTACCAAATAATTTAGCACTGCCACAACTCTCGTTCATGCCACCAAACTTCTATTTAAATCCGATTCTCGATGAAAAATCCCTGGAAGAGATATACAACGTCGAAGATTACTCTTCTCTGGATTATACGTACGATAGTTACGATGATATTGCAAAAAACAGATCTGGTTCCATCGGAAATGTAACTGAAGAAATAAATTTTACAACGCAAATTCTTGAACAAAATGACACAACCGATGTCACTATCACAACCTTTGAAAATCTCACTGACACCATCGATTTAAGCGAAGAAATTGATACTAATTCTACGACCAGCAATTTTTTAAACGAATCTACAGTTTTTAATGAAACGACAGAAGGGAGAGATTATAATACAAGTACGAGTGCAGATACTATCTCAAGTATTGTTACTGTAGACTTAAATGAGACTTTTTCCATAAAGACAGAAGATTTTACTATGTCTTCATCTACAGAAGAAAGTAACACATCTGACGAGTATGTAATTACAACATTCAATACAGATACTAAATCTTCAGTTATGGCGACTGAACTTACCGATGAGCCTAATGTAGAAACAACTGATAAAATTTCTACTATCGATCATTACGAAGGCGTGATTCCTTTGGTAGAAAAAGACTATGATATACAGTGTTTTGAACAGATATGTAACACTACTACTACGCAAGATACAAGTATGCACAAAGTACAATTTCTATACCACATTTATAAAAATATTATGGTTTCATCTGTAACTTGTACTTTCTACATTTAAACATTTCTTTTTTTCAGTTTCTTCGTCGAAGCCGTTAGACTTGAAAACTCGAAAAAAGCTTCGTCGTTTGTGCTGGGAAACGATGTTTGGACAAGAACTTGCCAAACTTACCGTAATGGACTTGGTGAATTTATTTGTTTCAGTTTTCTTTAATATAATTAAAGCCTCGCCTCTTGCTAAGTTTGAATATTTGTTTCACTTGTCACAGGTACTTAGTATAGTAACCACGTTTAGTATAGATTTCTTTCGTGCAGTTTTCGTACGATATATGAACAGTTGTTGGTGCTGGGACCTAGAGAAACAATTCCCTCAATATGGAGATTTCAAAATCGCTGAGAATATACTTCATTTAGTAAATAATCAAGGAATGATTTGGATGGGGATGTTCTTCAGTCCAGGATTAACTGCACTGAATCTTTTGAAACTTGGAATTCTTATGTACTTAAGATCCTGGGCTGTCCTTACCTGTAACGTGCCTCATG